CTTCTTTAAAAAAAAAAAAAGCCAAGGTTCCATGTAATCTGATCTTAAAATGACAACTTTAAAATGTTTTAAATTTACTCTATTTGGACAGAGGGGTAGGATGTAAACAAACACCTGCCCAGCACTTGTCCCTCACGAGGGTCCTGAGATGAGCTATGAGATGCAGGCACCCTGGCATACGGAAGCAGCCTAACTGCATGGAGGCAATTTATGCCAGGGCCAGAAAAATCCTGTCTCTTTCTGGGAGAATCCCTCAGTCACTGACCCCTACCCAGCAGCAGTTCTGCACTGCCTGCTTCTCATCACACCCCAGTGCTAGAGTGATATATTGTGGGACTAAAAAGTGTGAGCGGGGAAGCCAGAAGGAATCTTCTTCAGTTCATTTCTCCCCAATTTGGAAATCCTAGGTAAGGAGAGGGGAGAAGCCCTGTCCCATTGTTACCCCACACGATTAACCAAATCCCAGTACATACTCCCTTAATCTCTCACCCAGTACCTGTGAGCTGCTGATTCTGGATTTTTGGAAAAAGGACACAGAGGGAGAAACCAGAAGTGAAAACCCAATTCCTACCATCTCTTCTTGCTGCCCTCCCAACTCTGATCTTCATCCTCTCAGTTCGCCCTGTCACAGCCTTCACCCCACACTCTGACTGCAGGAAGAGTTCAGGGAACTTGCCTCACTGCGTAAAGGGGCAGAAGAGTGGCGGGCGTCCTAAGTCTGGTTTTGGTTCCAGCAGAAAAACTGTGCTCATACTAGAACTTTCAGTGTTAAATAAAACAATCAGTGTGAAATAGTGACTTGGGTCCATGGTACTACAAAGATGTTATTTTTGACACTATTATTACAGGCTACATAGCCTGGGAATTCCACCTGTATGACTGTTTCTGTGGGAAAACTGCTTATAAATAGTATGTACAGGGATTTACAGAGTAATTCATACACTGAGCAGACTTTCACACACAAAAGCACTCATGTAAGCTGTGAGACAGACACCTGAAAGCCTCCTCCTTGCTAATAAAAGGAACTTGCGCTACAAGGTAAACCCAGAGTGGAAACGGTAAGCCGTTGGCTGACCCAGGACTGGCGCCCATGCACTTTCCACTAATCTCACAACCTCCTAAGTCCAGTTCCTGTCTTCAAAATCTCCTGGAACTACAAGAGCCCTAAAGGAATTAATTGTACTTGGCACAGGGGACATAGAAGAGGACTTGAAAATCAAGGCCCCTAAAATAACCAAAATATACTCAAAATATCTCCCATCTTCCCACTGGGAAGCTAGTTAGAGGTTAATAGAGAACATTTTAATCTCCTAAATTTTAATTTGGGTCTATTTTACCCTTTTTTTTTTTAAAGATTTATTTATTTATGCATACAAGACTGGGGTAGAGGTCAGAGGTGTGGGGGGTGAGAGGATTCACCGGAGACAGAGTGGGGAACAGAACAGGCAGACTGACCGAGGACCGAGCAGCAGGAGAGGCAGGAGAGGTCTGCTGCGTTAAGTGGGTTGCTCCCTGTTGCGAGCCAGCCGCAGCAGTCTGGGTGTCCTGATTTTTCGGAAATCTGCCCCAAGCCCGGACTTTTGTCAGACGACATGAGTAGCATGGCTCCCAATAGCTCCCTGGCCAGCAGGGTGATCAAACTCATGCTGCAGAGGTTGCGGATAGCTTCACAGGTTGCGTCTTAACCCCTTGCACCACCAGGGAGGCCCTATTTTACCCTTTCTTTCTGACCACTGTATAAACTGCCTCTCTCTTCCTATAGCTTTACAGGCTGGCTTTCATAGCTAATCTTTTCAGTACTTGTTCTTATATAGTGGCCTTCTGGCTGTGCCTCAAAGACAAGCTCATTCCCACTTCAAGAGTCTTCACACAATCATTATTTTTGTCTAGGAAGCCTACTCCTCCCTAGACCACTGAACATTTGCTCGCTTGTTTATTATCATGCTACCTACTGTGAACACTCTATTCCCACCAATCTCCACCCCCAACCTGTTTTATTTTGCTTCAGAGCCCTGACTGCTTGAAATTGGAGTATTTATTAGCCTAGCTTATGTTTCCCGCACAGGAATGTAAGATTCATGAGGCCAGATCCAGCTGATCTTGTTCCCAATTATATCCTCAGAGCTGGAACACCATCTGGCCTGTCCCTCAAAAACTATTTTAATATTGCCAGCTAGTCCACTATCTTTACTATTCCTGATCCCCAAGCATTAATCCCGCTTGGCCACAATACAACACTTTACAGTGCATTACTGCTCCTTTTCATTCTCATAGCAACTTCCTTTTATACTGCATTAAAAAGAGCAAGGACTCCAACCACAGTCTGATCTTAAATTCCATATTTCTTCTCCAAGGAACACCTCAATTATTTCATTGAGTATGAAGAAAGAAGGTAAATCTGCAGGCTACCAAAGCCAAAGCATTATTAACTATTTGCTTCAACTTTTTTATTACAGACTTATAAAACAATGATACAGGTTCTTAGACCTATTACATTACACTCATCACGTAACACAGACTGTCAAAATTCTAGAAGGGAAATAGGTAGGGTCTCTCAATACATATAACTATGGGCTACCCAGTTATAATGATCCCAGTAATGGTGAATCCTTAAAGTGACATCAACACCCACCAGTTGTAAAGCTGCACCTGTCTGCAAATGTTTAGTTTCTCCATTTCACTTCTGCAGATTTCAATTTTATTAAGTAAATAAGTTATTTCATTATCATATTTACATTCGATAAATACATACTTTCTCCCCTTCCCCCCCACTTTAAAAGTTCTAGATGGCCAGACTCCCCTGCCACAGCACTCATTAACCAGGCTACTCCCCATGGCACTCTACCTACAGGAAACACTTTTAATTCCAGCACAGTCTCTCTGAAACACTTGATGGGAAGGAAATAGCACAAGTCCAAATAACCTAAATTACAGCTTGACATACTTTCCAACCGGTACATTTCCAACCTGAACATCTTTTTACAAGAAACTCCCAATAGTTCAGGATAATTTAGCATTTCTGACAGTTTTATTAGAATTTCAGTGGTCTGAGCTGAAATGTCTCACCTAAGTTCAAACACACTGACTTTAGACTTGCCTGTTATAGCCAACAAGGAAAGTGTCATCCCTCTTTGCATTCTTAAGGTCAGTTTTTTATGTATCCCTGAAAGGTATTCTAAAGAAAACCTCTCTAGCGCCTTCAAAAATCCCAAAACAATAATTACTTGAATCCTTCATTCATCATCATCTACTGTCAGACCTATGGTAGGATAGAGATGACTTGGACAGTTTCTGCTAAGATCTAGTAAGGAGATAAATACGGAAACATAAATGCTATCATGATACAAAGAAAATTCCTGGGGGGCAAAGTTACTGCTGCTTTTAGAGTCAGAGCCCTTGAACTTTGTATAGGAGAATAAATATGTATATTTGGGGGAAAGGGATGTCCCTAGTGTGTTCAGAAAACAGCAATGCAGACCACAAGGAGAGAGGAAGACGAGAGGTGGGCAGACTGAAAAAAACACACTAAAAATCTTGTTTGTTTTCTTAAATTCAGCAACAAGAAATTAGCAAAGAAACTGAGCAGAAATGTGGCAGAATTAGAGCAATGGAATGGAATGGAATGGAATGGAATGGAAATGACCTGATGAGAAGCAGCATTAGGTAGAAAATGCAAAAATTAAGAGAAGTTTGAGGACTAAAGTGGGGCAGTAAGAAATAGTGAAGAACTGATGAGAAAATTTTCACATATAATTTAGTTTGAGAAATGACTGGATAGACACAAGAGATAACAAAATTCAAGATGACACTGAAGGTCTGGTTTTGGGTGAAGAAGTGTACAGCATGCCATATGGAAGTAAGAACACATAACTGGGGGCGGGGCGGGAGAGGGAATGAAAAGAGATGGGATGAAAAGTTTTGTGTCGGCCAAGTTGTTAGGGGGAAAGGATAAGTATGTACAGAACCCCCACCTCTCCCAGTGAGAAACATGAGTGCAAAAAGCTCCAGAAACACCAATTAATTAAGTTTTTCCCAGTTCTAACTTTCCTTCTTTTGACGGTGGTGACCGAAACTGAGCAATGTGAAGCTATGCCTACCTCTCAGACACAAGAGACCAAAAAGCCTTCAACTACCTCGAGGGCCGCGTCACTTAAGCCTCACTTTGCTTGCCCTCGTGTATCCTAATAGCCCGGTGTCTCCTACTCTGAAGCAGAGAATTTGTGGCCCCCAAAGCCCAAAGCCGAGAGGGTCGCAGGAATCCTTACCTCTGCCGGACCGTGGATCCCGCGGCGCGGGCGGCCACTGCTTTGCTAGGAGAGCGCCCTGAGGAGCCAACGTTAGTGCCACTGGGGGTTGGACCAGGCTGCAGAGGGAGACAAGCAGACAGACGGGTGAGTCTCACAGGTCAGCTCCCGACCCCAGGCCCCGTGGGCCGAGACCTGCACCTGCATGGAAGGGTGGGGAGAGCAAAGAAACCACGAAAGGAGGGCAAGGCGTAAGGTGAAATTGGGGCATTTTGCAGAGGCGAAGAACGAGGAGGACAGGCTGGGGTTGCCATACCATGCTGGAAGCAGTGGGGTGGCAGAAAGCTGAGAAGACTGGCCGGAAACTGCTGCAGCCCTCAATGTATCGGCGCCTGGAGAAACTATTCAGGTCCCGCCCCAGACCCGCTGGCAGGGTCCTCGTTGGCTCCGGGGACGCCTGGGTTGTCCTAATAGATACCTGTACATATTTTGCTACAAATGACTTGATATATTACTCTATGGAAACTAAAGATATTCCTTTTCCTTTCTTGAGATCATGGCGTCCTTCACAGGGCCCAATTCCTACCAAAAGGACGGTATGGCCATGGTCAGACGAGAAATTTTCTCAGGCAGTTAGTAGACACCTATAGAGTTGTGCTGATCTGGCCTAACCCGCGCACACGTCGTGGGGGCGTGGTCGGCCCCTAATGGCCACCGGAAGTGAGGGAGCATGCGCGGAAGCCCCGAAGTGCTCAGGGCGCAGGCGCGGCTTTTAAGACATGGCGGAGAAGCAGAGGCAGGATGAGGACGCAAGTCTCAACCCGTCGGTGCTGTTTCTACACCCGGACCTGGGCGTGGGCGGCGCCGAGCGCCTGGTGCTGGACGCGGCGCTGGCACTGCAGGCTCGAGGATGTCGCGTGAAGATCTGGACGGCGCACTACGACCCGGGCCACTGCTTCGCGGAGAGCCGGGAGCTGCCGGTGCGCTGCGCCGGGGACTGGCTGCCACGCAGCCTGGGCTGGGGCGGCCGCGGCGCGGCGGTCTGCGCCTACGTGCGCATGATCTTCCTGGCCCTCTATGTGCTGTTCCTCGGCGACGAGGAGTTCGACGTGGTCGTGTGTGACCAGGTGAGGCGGCCGCGAGCACGGCCACGCGCTGGGCCCTCGCTTCGCCTCCTTTTCCCACTGCTGGAAGCACTGCGTGACCTCAGATGACCTCTCCGGGTCTGCAGTACAAAAGATTAGGACTGATCTGAAGAGATCAGAACTGGGAGACATTGAAGTTGCAGATTACAGGGCCCCACCTTCTTAAGTTTTCAACCTGGAGACCTGGGGTGAGGCCCAGAAACCTGCATTTTCTTTGGAGAATCAGGTGATTCTTGCAGCAGTTGGGCCTTGGGACCTTAAGTAATACAGGCATTGGAAACCTTTTGTTTCTTAATCATTCGTATGGCAACAGAAATAATGCAACCTCCCCCCGCCCCCCACCCCACACACAGTTTTTCATTTTAAATAGTAACAATTATGTAGGACTAAAAACTCAAATAATATACAAGCATATGAAGTAAAAGTTTAAACCCAGTTCTGCTCTCTAAACATAGCCGCTGTTAATAGTTCCTCATTATCCTTCCAGAAACTCTGCAACCTGGCATGTATATGTCTACTCATAGATGTTATCTTCTTCTGTATATTAATCGGGATTATGACACCTCTCTTGTTGAATAACTTGCTCTTTTCCACCAGAAATTTGGGACATCCTTCTATGTCAATATTAGAAATTGATTTCATTCTTCATAATGACTGAAAAATCCGCCTTTTTGCGGTACCATATTTTATACATTCTTCTGTTCAAGGACACTAATACTGATCAGTTTTTTGTGAATAGATCAGTGTTGTAATAACATCCTTATATCTTTCTGTTTATTACTTCTGTAAGCAAGTCCTTTGAGTAAATTCCTGGAAATTAAGTTGGTGGGTCAAGGCGTTTTTCATTTTAAATGTCAGTAGAGTAGCTATTGCCAGATTTGCCTTCCAAAGATGTTGTGTCCCTTTACTGTCCCACAGCCGATTACTCCAGGCTCCTGTGCAGATTGGATGTTATCAAGCATTTTAATCTTTGCCAAACTGACAGGTGGAAATGGTATCACCTTTGCTTTTGTTTTTGTTTTGTTAGTTACTCCTGAATTATTTTGTATCATATTTACCTAGAAGCTATTTGTCTTTTTAAAATGGTGTACATTTACCAAACATCCTTTATGTGTAGTTGATGAACATGAGGTCAGAGTGTAGTGGATAGAGAGAAAACCACGCTTGTAAGTAGACCGGGATTCAAGCTCAATTATCTGATTTTTTTTTTTAAAGATTTATTTATTTATTTATTTATACAAGCACTGGGTACAGTCAGAAGTGCAGGAGGGTGAGAGAATTCCCCAGAGCCAGAGCGGGGAGCAGAGCAGGCAGAAGGACCAAAGTACACTGCTCAGGGGAGCAGCGGGCGGCAGTAGAGGTCTGCGTACCATGTGGGACCCTCCTTTAGTGGCCTGGGAGCAGCTAGGGATCAAACCGTTGCTGCAGAGGCTGCGGGCAGCTTTGCAACCCAGCGCTCAACCACTGCGCCACCGGGGAGGCCCAATATCTGATATTTTTTTAGCCACATAGTTTTGGACAAATCCTTCATTAGCCCTAAAGCTGTTAACTTCGGGTGTTAATTAAGTGAGCTGCATGTTGAGTGCCTTGTAAAGATGTCCCAGTTGGAAAGTCTCTGATAATGCCAGAGTGTCGTTCCTCCTTAATAATGGTTGTGGTTAACATTTATTGAACATGTACTATACTAAATTCTTTGGCATTTTACATATGCTAGTGCATTTAGGAATCACAAAAGCCATATTTCTGGGATGAGGGATTTGTGCCATAATCATCACCATGTTACAGAAAAGGAAACTGAGGCCCAGAGAGAATTAGATTATTTGATCATGGTCACACAGCTAGTAAAACAGAGATCACCCCCCTAGCAATCTTGACTTCAGAGCCTGTGCTCTAAATTACTGTAGTTCATTCATTCCCTTTTTTAGGAGGAGGAAGATACTAGAGCTGCTCTGTCCAGTATGGTAGCTACTAGCCACACATCGTTATTGAGCTCTTGAAAGTAGCTTATCTGCACTGAAATATGCTCTATGTGTGAAAATACACACTTGATTTTGTGAGTTTAGTATGAAAGAAAAAAGTGCAGAGTATTTTGTTACCATTTTTGTATTGATTACATTTTGAAGTAACATTTTGGATAAATATGTTAAATTGATTTCACCCTTAAAATTTGAATGTGGTTACAACATTTGTATTTCCATGGGATAGAACTGTTTTAGAGGAAACCACTGGACTTGCAGCTTTAAATATTAGCACGCGTTAAGCAAATGTCTATACACCAAGGATTGTACTGGGTGAGAACTGGGGGAACACAAAGGAGAATCAGACATTGCCTACAGACTAGCAGACTGGCTAGGGGTGTGTGCTTTTTGGTTTGGTTGAAGTTGACCAGTCACTGTATCTGCTGTTGATTTTTGCTTCGGCTAGGTGTCTGCCTGTATCCCAGTGTTCAAGCTGGCCAGACGGCGCAAGAAGATCCTGTTTTATTGCCACTTCCCAGATCTGCTTCTCACTAAGAGAGAGTCTTTTCTTAAGCGCCTATACAGGGCCCCAATTGACTGGGTTGAGGAGTACACCACAGGCATGGCAGACTGCATCTTGGTCAACAGCCAGTTCACAGCTGCCATTTTTAAGAAAACATTCAAGTCTCTATCTCACATAGACCCTGATGTCCTCTACCCATCTCTGAATGTTACCAGCTTTGACTCCACTGTTCCCGAGAAGCTTGATGACCTCATCCCCAAAGGAAAAAAATTCCTATTCCTCTCCATTAACAGATATGAACGGAAGAAAAATCTGGCTTTGGCACTAGAAGCCCTAGTAAACCTGCGTGGAAGGTTGACGTCCCAAGACTGGGACAAAGTTCACCTGATTATGGCAGGTGGTTATGACGAGAGGGTCCTGGAGAATGTGGAACACTATCAGGAATTGAAGAGGATGGTCCAGCAGTCTGACCTTGGCCAGTATGTGACCTTCCTGCGGTCTTTCTCTGACAAACAGAAAATCTCACTCCTCCACGGCTGCACGTGTGTGCTTTACACACCAAGCAATGAACACTTTGGCATTGTCCCTCTGGAGGCCATGTACATGAAGTGCCCGGTCATTGCTGTTAATTCGGGTGGACCCTTGGAGTCCATCGTCCACAGTGTCACAGGGTTTCTGTGTGAGCCTGACCCAGTGCATTTCTCAGAAGCAATAGAAAAGTTCATTCATGAACCTTCGCTAAAAACCACAATGGGACTGGCTGGAAGGGCCAGGGTGCAGGAAAAGTTTTCCTCTGAAGCATTTACAGAACAGCTCTACCAATATGTCACCAAGTTGCTAGTATAACCAGATGGTTTTTTAAGGTGTTTATGCTACATTCATTTCATTTTTACAAATTGTAGGCCCGGTTTTAAACCATTAATGAACACTAGAATATAATGCCGAAAAGATTTAAAAATAAACATATACTTGAATCTGAGCCACCTTCCTATCCCCAATACCTCCTCATCTGCTTTGTCAGAACAATAATCTTTTATGCTGTAATTATTCCAAATCTTACCAATGTTGATTAAGATATAAGTAGGGTGCAAGTCCATGTTTGGAATATTTTAATTATATTTTCTCTAGGTTTTGTTGCTTTGCCTATAAATTTGAAGTCATATTGTGTCCTAATTGATTTTGATAATTTTGTGCATCATCATGAACATTGATTAATTTGGCTTCATAGCCTAATGGAACAGCATCACTGTGGTTCCAGAATCATTCCACCTCAGTATCTACTGCTGGGAAAAGTTCTGTTAGTCACACCTTTACCTGGGTCCACAGCAAGAACTCTGCATTTTTTTTTTTTTTAACAAAGATGATTTATATATTTTTGTACACTGAAATATGTTTATCATAGGGAGGGTCAACAGAATACCAGATTTTGATCTCCACAGTCTATTTTGCCACTTAGTGACAGCCAAGCCCAAAGTCAGAAACTAGACTGAACTGGATGTTGCCACGAAGAGGGAATACTGTCAAATGGTGTGCAGCTTGCTTCAGGTTATTAATGTCATCTGAGTCACCGCTTTGGTGATATTTGTGTTATATTAAATCAGGTCCCCCTAAGGGTAAAACACATTCCTCTATCCTTCAAGCCCTGCCTCAGATGCCATGACAGAAGCTTTCCTTAACCCTCCACCCACCTTCCAGATGGAAGTGATCTTCCCCCTCTCCGCACTCTAACCCTCCCACAGCACTGACCCGTATCAGTGCAGTATTTACCTGTTGGTCTAAGTACAAATAAACAAGAGGTACTTTCAACATGCCTTCAAAGCGAAATTCATTTTTAAAAAATAGCCGGTCTCCACGTTAATCAGCTCTAAGAGCACAGGCCTGACTGCCTGTGTGACCTTGGACCAGTTCTCTCTTGTGCCTCAGTTTCTTCATCCATAAAGTGAATAACTACTATTCTACCTCCCTCACAGAGTGATTATGATGAGTACCATAACATAAAGTCCCTCAAACAGTACTTGGCACATACCTGGGCTGTATAAAAGCTACTTTGCAATTTGGGAATATTGAAAATGACTGGAAGGTCATGCTGCGCTGTATCACTCTTTTGGGGTGCTTTAGAGGACACAGTGTCAGGTTGTGATTATCAGTCTGTATCACGAGTATTTTCATGAAATGACTACCAAAAAAGGGTTCTTTAAAGTGAGATTGTCAAATATGTTGAGTCTTATGGAATGAAAGGTCGAGTTCCATTTGCTTTGTCATTGTGAAAGCTTACTAGCCAGGGAGGGCGATCATCCCCATTTTGACTTGGTGCATCTGTTTCTCAGGGAACTGCAGTCTTTCAGAAAGGCCTAGTGACTGGCCATGGGGTACAGGACTGCAGACTCAGTCATGCTTATAAATTCAGAGCATTAAAACTTGTGCCTACTTGGTAATTTTTATGCAGATCCTTCCAAAATGAGAATATTGCGCCTTAAATTTATCTTTCCTTCATTGTCTTCAGCCCCAACAGATGACAGTGACACCATAGTTCTGGGAGGAGTGCAGAACCCTGGCTGCTGTGAGCACTCGGCTTCTAAAGAGTTAACTCTGGCTCCTCAGTTCAGGATGGAGCTTTGCCCATAGGTGTTCACAAGCTCCTAAGACTATGCTGACATTAGGGACAACAGTAGCATGCTCAGCCTCTGCTGACTTGTATCCCCTGAGAAGTGGCTAGAATTCTAGCCCACAGTCAAGGGAACCTGAGGAGTCTTTGGGCCAAGATCACCTTAAAGGTTAGGTCTAGTTTTGTTAGGCTTTGGGAATTACTGTAGATGGCTTGTGATACCCTGGAACAGGAAACAACAGTGGAGGAATCCCCTGGATAAAACTTTGTCCATAGGAGGTGTTCACAGTTTCCAAAACTAAGTGAAGTTGAAGAAAATAGAAGCATGAAACTCTTAAGTGAGAATTGTCCAGGACCTCATCAGTTGTGATTCTAGCACTTACTGTGTGCTGACATGATGCATAGCAATAACTCATTTAGAACTGACCCTGCTGAGGGGTACATAGTTAATTCCTCACCTTACAGGTGAGTGTGGCTAAGCAACTTGCCCATGTGGCACAGCCCAGAGAGATGTGAAAGGTCTCAAGTCTCTGACTTCCAAGTCCAACCACTCTTCGGTACACCATAGCCCTCACCAAACACCAGCACTGCACAGCCTGCACGGTGACACTCCCTCCACTGCACCAAAGCTGCCCTGCACACGTCCTCAGACTTAGAAAGGCTTTACTGGTTTCCCTTGTCATCCTCAGAGCAATCTCTTGAGGTGGATATGATTATCCCCTGTCTTATACACAGGAGGAAGCTCTGCAAGGTAAAAGGCACCCAAGGGCACACAACTGCACGACTGAAAAGAGCTCAACCCCAGGTAACCTGATCCAGCCAGAGCTCTGCACTGAACAGCGTCTTTCAGTCTGCTCCCCTTTGATAATTGTAAATATAGCATGTCCTCCAACACTCTAGGAAATTTGAAATAAATACAGCAGTCTGAGTCAGCAAGTGTGAGCGAGGTGCTATTCTGTCTTCAAATTAGTCCTCTGACCCTAAAAAGAGAAGCTGATATGCTGCCCACCGCCCGCCCCCCCCCCCCCCCCCCGCCCCATCCCCAGCCCTGGGAGTCACTGAGCTAAGGCTACGCTTCCCACCTCACTGCAGTGGATGTCAGGGCAGTCAGAGTCCTCATGGAGCTCTTGGAGCCACTTAGGTTGCATAAAGCAGAGGTTCAAGCTCATTTAACTTAAAGGGTTTTAAGAGTTGAGTGTTTGCAAAAAAAAAAAAAACACAAACCAAAACCAAAAACCTGCATATCTATGTTTATTGCAGCACTATTTACAATAGCCAAGATATGGAGAAAACCTAAATGCCCCAAAAGAGATAAGTGGATCAAGAAGATGTGGTATACATACACAAAGGAATACTATTCAGTGACCAAAAAAAGATGAACACATGCCATTTGCAGCAACATGGAAGTAGCCAGAAGAGATCATTCTAAGCAAAGTGAGCCAGCAGGAGAAAGAGAAATACTGATATGTGGAATCTAGAGAAACCAAGGGACAGGAAGAAAGATAAAACTTGCAAGCTGGCCATAGATCTGAGGGAAGGGGGAGGGAGAAAGGTCAGAACAGGAGGGAGAAGCACAAGGAAGTGTGATGATGGATCATGGGTACTGTGAGGGGGGGGGAACCATGGGAACTACACCTGAGGGGAGGAAGTCAATACTGTCCAAAAACTAACAAGGAAGGAAGGTGGGCGGGAGGGAAAAAGGAAGGATACAGTTGGGCATTTGGAAAATCCAAGCTACAAAGTAAGTCACCCACAGCAGGGATGGGTGCGCTCACGGTAAAAGCTTCTCTCATGCACACTCTTCCAAGCTCACTGTTACTCTGCTCTGCCATCTGCACACCTGGGCGCAGCTACTGAGCCTTCACTGCCTCCCAGTCCCTGTGGCCATCTCCACCAGTTGTTCTGTTCTACTGGAAATACACCTGGTAAAGCAGGAGAGTAGAGGTCACGCAAGGGTTGGATGTCGTGTAGATGATTTACCTTTAATTCCATTATCTCCAAATTAGTTGACCACAACAATATTGAGAAAAAGTAAATGACCGATACTATAGTAACAGGTAACATTTGTTGAGCAATTACTGTGAGCCATTGTTCTAGGACTTTGCTCATCAGCTCACTGGATCTTGCCAGCAGCTCAATAGAGTTGATAAAATTTTCAACCCATTTTAATAGATGAGAAAACTAGCTAAAAAGAGTATAAGAAAATAAGCTAGAATGTGGTGAATTCAGACTCAACAGTCAGCTCCTTATTGCTCCACCTGCACCAAGCGTTGGCAGGTGAGGACATGATAAAGCCAACGTGGGAAACCTTTCCCAAATGGGAAAAGCATATCAAAACATCCCATTACACCAAAAAGGAATGGGAGCTTTCCACCAAACAGTCTCTGTAACAGAATTTGCCGTTGAATTAGGGCAGAGGCACTTTGCAGGGTAATCTGATTATCGTCAGCGCAAGTGCTCAAACTCTGCTGTTGGCCAACATCCAGGACCCGTCACTGAATACTCATCATCTCATCAATTCAGCCTCCTCGACTGACGGGCAAAACAACATCCAAATATTCATTGCACATCTGTGCCGGGCAGATTATACATTAGCAATTCAAATCTGGCCAGTGTACCGGCCGTTCCTACAAATGTGTCTGTTTGGGTGAGATGCCTTGTTGTCTGGGACGGATAATAAGGCAACTCGGTCTAATCTTGAAGAACAATCAACCCATCTTGCGAAGGTGACTGGCTGTGTGTGTTCTTGCCCTGGCAGCGTTGTAACAATGGCCCCATAATGCACTCGACTCAGCTGGCAGTGAAGCCCCGTCCTGATTAGTAGCAGTGGCTGGTGTCAATCACCACGGGCTGCACCATTGTCCTCTGGTCCCCAACACAGTTTATTTACAGGAAAACAAAGGCTTTAGGGGGCTATGGCTGCTTCCCAGAGATTGCAAAATAGATTGAGCTGTCAAATACACAAAGTAGATGAAGATTAATGAGCTATGTGGACAATAAATATGAAGAGATGACCATGAATATGCTAATGGGCATTATCCATATACACCATAATTGCTACCAAAATTAAAAGGTGGCATGAAGAAGATGGGTCACAAGGTGACAGGGAGATAATCTTGGATGTTCGAGACGTTCACCCGAGATAAGATCCTCTACAGGTTCCCTTTCCCCGATTAAACGGTCCCAAAACATCCTTTGCAAGCTGTCTGAATAGGCTGCTTTTAAACAGGGATGTAAGGGGTGGGTTGAGGGGGGAAGCTGGAAAAAGTTACTTTAGGGGAAGGTGTAATTAGAATAAGAAAGGTGCTTATCAAAGGCAAGAAGTGATCAGCTAGCTGTCAAGCTCCCTCCGCCTCCCCAGGGGGAGAAAGGATGCAGGATGTCACTTCAAACTTCAGACACCCCCACCCTAGAGCCCCAGGGACTATTGTAACTATGAGAAAGCTATTCAGTCTACCTTTCAGGGAGGAGTGGGTGATTTTTCATGGTGCTCCAATACTCTGAAGGCTTTTTAAAAATAAACATGATAGAGAAATTTGAAGAACATGATGTTGAAAGGAGAATGACATTTTGTCTCCATGAATGACTTGCTCCGGGAAGCTTACATCCTGTAGAAAGGTGTGGCGAGGCGGTGGCATGACCGACTCCCCCCAGCCCGCCGCTGGTCCCAACAGCCTTCCAGGCAGTGGCGTGGCGTCCTTGGTCCCCAATCACCCCCTTGCTTCCTTTCCGTCCTCCTGTCTGTGGATGGCAGTTAAGTCAGCATAATAACATCCCGACGTAGTGCTATGAGAGACCGTGCACATGAGCAAGAGAAAGGGTTCATGTTTCTTAGTTTCTCTCAACCTGCAGAGACTCCTGGAGCCTCACCCTCTGGTGGCCAGAACTCCCCTTTGCTCCTTGAGAATAGAGCCCAACATGCATTCCTCAGCTGACACTGACACCGACACCCACTGACACTGGGTGAAGGGCTAGCAGGGTGTGCCCTGGGTTTCAGGAAAAGGGAGGAGTGGTAGAAAAGAGGAAGGGAGGCCAGGGGAAAGAAGGACTCCCAGAGTCGAGCTGAGCTGACTCCACATGGGCTGGAAATTTGCCTGATGGTAGAAAAAAGGAATTTTGTATACAGGTGTAAAACAACCTCACCGAAAGGGGTGGCAGAAAACGGGCTGTCCCTCGTAACTCTGGAAATCAGTCGTGTCTGTAAAACTAAAGGCAAAAGGAATGACAAGCGCTGTGCTTGAGTTAACAAGGGGTTTCCCACGGAGGGTGAGGATTAACAATTCCCAGACTCCTGTTGGTGCTGCTGGAACTGAGCAACTAAGGAAATGGATGGCAGGTGCTGGGCACTGGGCTTCTCAGGTTGAAGGGGAGTTTATAGGTAGGAAAGGGGAGACAGCTAGGGTGATCGCTGTGATGGTGGACTAGAGTTGGAGAGGATACATTCATCTTGTTTGACTGAATATGGATATACACACAGTTACACACTAAAGCGTGTACAGATACGTGCATATACACTGGTTAGTACACACATGTATTTCCTTGCCTTCTCAGCTAAGAGGACCTACAAAACAAAAGCTTAGTAGCAGCAAGCACACCTCGCACCCATATACAGGTCTCCAGAAAAAGCAACCAAGTCACCTTAGAGAAACATCTTACCTAGGATGGAGCAGGAAATACACAAGATGAATCTAGAGCATCCTGTAATACCAAAAAGTAATAAAGTGTGAAAAAAAATTTTAGGGCCTCCCTGGTGTCGCAAGGAGCTAAGTCTCAGCACCATGAAGCTATCCACAGCCACTGCAGCATGAGTTTGATCTCAGGCCAGGGAGCTACCCACATGGCACAGCAGACCTCTCCTGTCTTGCCCGCTGCTCCCCTCAGCAGTGTATTTCAGTAGATCTGCCTGTTCTTCTCCCCAGTCTAACTCTGGTGAATCCTCTCACCCTCCTCCACACACACACACCTACGGCCTTTACCCCAGTTCTTGTATGCATAAATAAATAAATCTTTAAAAAAAAATTTAACCCACATTGATGGGGATATGTCAGTGGGACACAGGAGCAACAGAATAAAGCAGCATGGATCATATAAAACAAATATCCAAAAGCCTATGCTAATATAAACAAAGGAGTAAATAATAAGTGGGGAGAATAGAATAAGCAAATCTCCCATGTAGAAGAACTAAGAATAATTTATGTAGAAATCCGACTCTCAAAGAGATGGAGTATAATTCCCTATTTGCTGATTTTGGAGCTGCATATAGTTACTTCCTTCCTGAGAGTACAATATAGAAGTGGGGGAGGGGAGAGTAGACTGACAGTGGAAAAATCCGACAAACACCATCTCAGCCAGCTGATCAACGTGCCCGCTGGGATGGGTCCTGTTGATAGGATGTGCCCTTCATCTTTATGGCAATGCGAATGGCAATTTGCCTCCATGGTCTTCCTCACCACAACCCATAACTCCAGTCTTATCCAAAGAAAAACAGCAGACAACTCTCAACTGAAAGACATCCACAAAACACCCGATCAGTGCTCACAAACAATGTTCAAAAAACAAGGAAAGGGCCTCCCCGGTGGCGCAGCGGTTGAGCGCTGGGTTGCGAAGCTGCCCGCGGCCTCTGCGGCGCCGGTTCGATCCCTGGCTGCTCCCCGGCCACCGGCGGAGGATCCCACATGGCGCGCAGACCTCTCCTGCCGCCCGCTGCTCCCTTCAGCAGTGTACTTCAGTCCTTCTGCCTGCTCTGCTCCCCGCTCTGGCTCTGGTGAATTCTCTCACCCTCCCGCGCTTCTGACTGTACCCAGTGCATGTATAAACAAAACAAACAAACAAACAAAATAAATAAATAAAACATGCCTCTATAAAAAAAAAAAAAAAAAAAAAGATTTAAAAAAAAAAAAAAGAAATAGAGACAGCTAATGAACAATCAGCATGGAAGAAAAGAAAGGCTGGGC